GGGAACTCTGCAAAAAACGCATCTTCGCACGGGCAGCCCGTGCGTTGGCCATTTATTTTTTTTTTTATTATTCTCCTCTCCTACTTAAATTTACTCTGTATAACAATATTCTGTTGTATATAATCATATATACACATATGTACGTATATATATATATATATATGTATATATATATATATATATAACTAGGTTTTGGCTACACACCTACACGTAGGACACGCACACTACTCCAACCCGCAATTTTAAGTTCGCGATACGAGATCTGTAAAAAAGCACGTAATAGAGATTTGAGGAGGGAAGGGGAGGGAGGAAAGTAGGCGCTTCCTGCAGGAATCTCAGGTTCTCTCACCAAATTTCACGTCTGTTGCTCAAAACCGCATACTCATGCGGCTGAAATGATGTCTTACCAGTCAGCATTAAATATATCTGAAATACCTCGAAAAGGTAATTATGCGTTTTTGCATATAAGTAAATGCAAAAACGCATATCGTGACGACCCACGGTGTGTGTGTGTCCAGGTATTTCAACTCGGCAGCTAAGCAAGCTCCGGTGTCAAAATTTTGCCGGCGGGTTTCTTGGCTAAGTGTCACTTCAGGCCCGCGATACCAACCCTCTTGCAAATATGGGCCTCGCGTACGACCACATGAAAGTTATAGCGATAAAACTTTTACTTGGAAACAAGGAAGCTGGGAGGCTTAAATTTTAAAGGGATTTTTCCAGCCCACTTATAACTTAAACATTTTAATTCCAAAGGTGTACATGGTTCCCACGTAGGGCTTCGTGAAAGTTTTTGGCTGGAAATTTGCTAATGGAGAACAAGGAAAGCTGGACAGCTGAAATTTTAACGAAATATTTCCCATCAAAGTACCACGTAGTTGCATAATTAATTTCCTGGAAGTTCGAGGAGCAGTATGTCATAAATTCTAGTTACTGGGATTCCAAGCGATCTTTCTACAGCACAAAATACTGCAAAATGCACTATCGCACGGGGCCGCCTGGTGCGCGTCGCCAATGATATAATTCCCTGTCTGGTAGCTTTTCTTGTTCCATTGTTGCTTTGTTCAGCGCTGCATCACTTGATGATCCGCCTCCTTGCTTGGAAGAATTAGAAATCGCATGGCGAAGTGCTCCTCTCCAGATTTCTAATTCCTCTATGCATGAGTCACTTGTGCTGGGCGTGAAACTTGTTACTGATGGGAAGTTAGCAGTGCTGGATGAACCGCGCCTAGAGAGGAAACCCAGTGGCTCGTACCTGAACCCAAAAACGCATAAAAACGAGTTGCGGCTTAGTAATTTATAGCAGAAGTTTGCGAGAAAATACCGTCGACGACTGTGTATGTACTGTAGTAGTTCCTAAATCAGATGGCAGTGCTGCGCCAGTGACGCCTCTGCGCTGCTCAGTAGAACCGGGGCGAAGAGAGCACGGTGCAGTCAGCACAGTGGCATTTATCAGTGCTTTATCACAGGCATGTTTCCCCTCTCCGCCTTCCCCGCGATACTTCTCACTTATCGGCAACTGAACAGCGTTTTGATCATCGTTGGCTGGCGGCCTCGACACATTTGCGCATCAATAACTCCCTTCCCCGTCCCCTTAGAAAGCTATTTGTAATGCGACACTGGTTGCACCATTCCCCTCACAGCAGATGCCAGTTAGGTTGCAGCCTCCAGGTCAATCCTGGAGGTAGAGATGATGGGATGTGGAAGTATACAAGAGTAATGTAAGTAGGGAGTAAGCGCGAGCTAAGACGTTCCGGTCCATTAAGTCATAAGCCAAGTTCACTCCAGCACCTTCCGGTGCCTCACCAGCCCCAGTTATACCTCTACTTTGCTAGTGTTGGGACGAGCGGTTGCACTGTGACGGCACTCAGCTGCGGTAGCCATCAGAACTCGGCTTGCAACGGTGCACTCATTTCGGGTCGGGTTGGGGTTGCATGATTCCAAGTGCTGGGGTTTTTATTGGGGTAAGCTTCTGCGTATTGCACCCAGCACTGCCAACTTCCCTCAGCAGCAAGTTCCACGTTGAGCACGTAAGGCCTACGGAAGCATCCTGCTCACAAATCCCCACTCTCATTTCCAGTTCTTACCTTCAGGAGGTCTCAACCCCGCCCCTCCTCTTCTTCACTGTTATCCCCTCCCCTCCTCGAGGAATAACTACCGCTACCCCCGACTCTCGCCCACC